TTTTTGATTAAACTTTTCTGTTTGATTTTGAACTTTATATTTTTCTCTTTTTTTTTCTTAGTGATATTAAGAGGTTTCTAATCGTTCTAGTAGCAGGTTGTGTTTATACAATGGATCGTATTATCATCTACATATGCCGGAACATGTCAGACCATAATTATGTCGTGCTTCAATGTCAACCAGCCCGCTTTTCTTTTATCCTGAGATAAATCTAGATTAAGCTTTCGGCAAGGTAGTGATTGGAATTTATGTTGTTTTGAGTCCGGTATTCGCTGTCAGGTTTTCTTCCTTCTTAATATTAAATTCTGAATAAAATGTTATTTTTCCTATGTACATTCAGCTACAAGGTGAAGCATGTTGTGTAAATCAATGTATCACTAAATTAATTTGGTCATTGGTTAGACCCACCTACTGTTTTGCATGTGATGACTCATAAATCAGCGGTTGAATGTAAATTATTCTCCCAACTACAACATAAATGCATAGAATGATACCATGTATTAGGGAGAGGAGAATTTTCTTGATGTGCTGATTTAGAACTGGGTACGACTGGACGCATGAATGGTATTCTTAGAAGCTCCACCGTTCTTGTAATTTGTCAAGTCAAGAATTTTCACCGCTATTATTCATGTGCTGAATTTTGTCGTCCTGAAAATTTGTGCTTTTGATTTCACATTTCAGCTTCTTTTCATGGTAACAATTTTTATGACCATTTTGCCCTTGCGTAACTATAATTTTTCTTACTTTCTATCCCGACAATACATAAGTCAGCCCGCTCACATCTTAATTCTTTCTTAAATTCTGACACAGCCGATTCTTACAATGCCGAGGCCCGTTCGCCAAGCGCAGGCACCCCCTCGTGAACCCCACCGTCGTTGCCGAAATAAGGAGATGCCTGGAGGAAGGAATTGAATTCCAAGGCGAACTACTAAACTTCCGTAAAGACGGGTCCCCACTCACGAACAGACTACGCATGACCCCCATTTACGGAGACGACCAGACAATAACCCACATCATCGGCATACAGGTCTTCACCGAGGCTGCCCTCGACCTCGGCCCAGTCCCCGCCTCCCCCACCAAGGAACCCTCATTTCCCTCAAACCGTTTCCGGCTGAGTGAAGCCTCTTTACAAGGGGCCCGCCGCAGGTTTTGTGGTATCATGCAGCTAAGCGACGAGGTGATTGCCCTGAAAATCCTCTCCCGACTGACCCCCAGAGACATCGCTGCCGTGGGGTCCGCGTGCGTGCGATTCTACCAGCTGACAAGGAACGAGGACCTGTGGCGAATGGTTTGCCAGAATGCATGGGGCAGCGAGATGACTCGCGTGCTGGAGACCGTCCCGGGCGCCAAGCGGCTCGGGTGGGGCCGACTCGCGCGCGAGCTCACGACCCTCGAATCGGCCGCGTGGCGGAAGCTCGTCGTCGGGGGCGCCGTCGAGCCCTCGCGCTGCAACTTCAGCGCGTGTGCGGTCGGGAGCCGCGTCGTCCTGTTCGGCGGCGAGGGCGTCAACATGCAGCCGATGAACGACACGTTCGTCCTCGACCTCGACTCGACGGCCCCCGAGTGGCGGCACGTGAAGGTGGGGTCCCCGCCGCCGGGGCGCTGGGGCCACACGCTCTCGTGCGTCAACGGCTCCCACCTCGTGCTGTTCGGAGGGTGCGGGCGGCAGGGGCTGCTGAACGACGTGTTCGTCCTAGACCTCGACGCGAAGCAGCCGACGTGGCGGGAGATCTCGAGCGTGGCCCCGGCGCCGCCGCCGAGGTCGTGGCACAGCTCGTGCACGCTGGACGGGACGAAGCTCGTCGTGTCCGGCGGGTGTGCCGACTCTGGGGTGCTGCTGAGCGACACGTTCTTGCTCGATTTGTCGATGGAGAAGCCTGTGTGGCGGGAGATCCCCGTGGCGTGGACCCCGCCCTCGCGCCTGGGACACACGCTGTCGGTTTACGGGGGGAGGAAGATTTTGATGTTCGGGGGGCTGGCGAAGAGCGGGCCCTTGAGGTTTCGGTCGAGCGACGTGTTCACGATGGATTTGGGGGAAGACGAGC